AATGCCATCTGGATCCCAATGACTTCCACATTTATATCTTCAGTTCTCTCTCCTGAAATCCAGACTCATATCTAACTGCCCACTCCACACCTCTTCTTGGATGCCCAATAGACATCTCAAGCTTAACACATTAGAAAATTCTGATTCCTTTCCCCACCCACGAATATGCTTCATCTCAGTCTTCCCCATCTCCACTGATGAGAGTGTCCTCCCTTCAGTTGCTCAGGCTAAAAGCCTTACAGTCATCTTGGTTCCTCACTTTCCCTCATATCACAAATCTGATCTATCAAGAAATCTTGTGGTTCTTCCTTCAAAATATACCCAAGCATTTCTCACCACCCCATCCACATTGGCCTGGGATTACTATTGACATTGTCAAGTCACTTGGATTGTTGCAAATTATCTCCCAATGTTGACCTTTGCTCCTCTACTGTCTCCTTCCAATGAAGCGACCAGAGTGATCCTTATCAGCAGATGGTGTCACTGCTCAAAGTCTTAGACTGATTTCTCCTAACAATGGCCTCCAAGAGAAAGAATGATGGGGAAGATTGACCCCCATCTGGAAGAAATGTCTATGCCTTCTCTGGTTACTCTGTTTGCCAATGACGGCAGTGCTGCTGTGTCCTTCTGGATGACGCTGATTTCCATTGGTGGTCCCATGCCAAGGCATAGGCAAGAGTTGCAGAGAGCTTAGGATAGAATGAACCTGAACTTTCTTTCTTTTTTTAAATATGAAATTCATTGTCAGATTGATTTCCATACAACACCCAGTGCTCATCCCAACAGGTGCCCTCCTCAATGCCCATCACCTGAACGTTCAATGTGCCCACAAGTTCTGTGGCTAGTTTATGTCCCTTCCAAGTGGAAACAAATGCAAAATGCGAGGAGATGACTCTTGACATTGAACCAAAGTTAGAATTAAGAAAAAAACATGCTGATGAGTTTCATGCAATGTGAAAGGATCAGCCTTACAACTAGTTCTAAGACCTCAGAGGTAAGGTTTTTCTCTATCCCTAGAGAGGAAGCATGATGGGAAGATGAGGGCATAGAAAAGTTCTTAGGAGGACCTATGTTTGAATCCTTGCTCCTTCACTATGGAGGACCAGATTACTGTTCAGGGAATGTTCACTCCCTTCCCATCCCCACCTCCATGGGAGGATTCTGAGGTTGGGCTTGGCCATGTCTCTTTCTTTGGCCAGTTAAAACTGGATAGAAGTGACAGTGTGTGAGTTTCAAGCCTACACCATAAGTAACATCACACATTTCTGACCTCCACCATCAGAAGTACTTGCCATGGGTATCTTCCTGATCCCAGAGAAGTGACAGCCAAGCCACCCAAGCTGCAGCAGGAAATATCAATGCTGCTTGTTGAATGTTTGTTTGTTATGCAGAAGTTGCTGACATACACAATCACTTACTAGATGTATGTCCTTGTCAAATCGTTTCACTTCCTGGGCCTTGGTTTCCTCATATGTACACTGGGATAGCAAATCATACCCACTTTGAAGGTGAGTACTTTGGGAACACTAGGTAAGGTGTTGCATGAAAGCTATTAGCACAAGCCCGAAATGTTGAAGGTACTCAGTGTCGCTTCCCTACTCCTGATACTCAGCACACTGTGGAGTGCGTACCATGTCTAAGTGAGCGGGGCAAGTTGAAGTTATGCTGGGGTGTCATTTTGAGTAGCAGCAGAAGAATGGGCTGGTTGGGAGAGTGGGTGTGGGTCGGGGTCATGTGTCCCTGGGGAGTGTGGTTGGGTGGCAGTGGGGGAAGGGGTTGATTTCTTTCAATCTTACTTAGAAGTACAGAAGCAGGGTAGCCTGATAGATGTCCCTGATCAGGTGGTGGTGTCTCCACTGGAACTCGGCGGCTGATGCTAGCACGTCTCCAGAGCCTCTGGGGAGGCTTCCAGGCTTGTGTTTCCCACCCACTGCCTGCTTCCTAGTAAATGATTCCTGCTTCAGAACATCCCCCACTTGCTACCAGGCCAACTTTCCACAGGCTGGCTGCGTCAGAGAGTTTAGCGGATGGAAGAGTGCTGGCGCTCTCCTGCCGAGCAAATCAATCCCTTTTGGCCGCAGTGTCCTGCACATAGCGGCGTCGAGGTCATTCCCACTGGTAGGGCCATCATTATCCCTGTGGCGCCTGATAAAGGTGCTACTGGGAATGCCTCCATTATTGCCCAGAGTGTAAGAGCACAAATACCTGTGATTGTGGGGCCAAAAGCAGTTACCTCTCCCCATGTGGGGTCTCTTTATCTTGCTTTCATTCCCTTTCTCTTCCCTTCGCCGTGACTGATAGATTATGAGGGACAGAAGGAGAAGGGGATGCGCCCACTCTCTTCCGTTTGCATTTCTAGGGGGGAGGGCGTTTATGCAAATCAGTCTTCTGCAGAGACTCCTCAGCCTGGCATCAAGACCCTTCGATATCTGGACCCAAATGACCTCTCCTGTGACTCTCTCTGCCCCTGTCACTAACACTGCAGGGGCCACTCATTCCTCTATTAATTCAAGCCTAACCCGTGTTTACTGTGGGCGCTGCAATGGACAGCTGATGAAGGCAGAGTTCCTTCCTCTGAACCCTTCACAGTCCTTGTAATGCTCTTCTTGCTTTGGATGTGGCCCTCTGTGCTTGGAATGTCCTCCCTCCTTCCCTCTTTTTCCTTTCTGCCATCCCCCCCTCCTTCCTTCCTTGCCTCCCTCTTCCTCTTTTTCCTCCCTTGCTTCCTTCCTTCCTCCCTCTTTTCTCCTCTCCCCCCCCCCCTTTTCCACACCTCTCTTTCTCCAGCAAAGTTATTCATTGATTCAGTCCTTATTTTAAAGGCACCTGCTTTGTGCACCCTTGCCATGTATTCTGGGCAGTTTTTCCATGATCCCAAAGAGTTCTTTCCAGTTTTTTTTTTTGCATTATGTTTGTTACGTAAATCTCTATAATGCACTACCGTATGTCTGTCTCCCGACCTAGAGTGAGGACCCTGTGGACAGAAAACACGTCCTGTTGATCTATCTTGTGGCACCTAGGATCCACTCAGTAAATATTTGTGGAGTGAGTGAACAACTGAATGAAGGTCTTGGGTTTTCACATTGTGATCCACTTCAGCTATTGTCAAAGTCATCCTTCTCAATCCCCACGGAGCTGATGGGGCGGCAGTCAGCAGGGATGCCTCATTCAAAACAGATGAAGCTGAAGTTTCCCTTACCCACAAAAGGGCCATCTGTCATTGGTCCCGACAAGATCTGTCCCCCTGGCTCTCCAGCCCCTTGTTTGCACAAGGATTGGTACCAGTTCCTGAGGAAGGCCACCTTTCTGTAGCTCAGACCCCCATGGAGGGTTTCATTTTTGACAGCAGCCACATCACTTAATATTAATCAGACCTGTGCTGGGGGTGGGTTGGGGGAGGAAAGTCCCACTAATGAGTGACTCTGCAGCTGGCAATCTGTTAGATTGTGTGTTGGGGCTTAATGTGTGATTTCATGGCTTTTCACGGTCTCTAAACTGCAAATTCAAGATAATTTGAAAACATTTTATTTAATTTTCATGCTTTTTTAATCAAAAAAAGTTAAAAGACTAATAATATTTTATGGGCAGTTGTAAAATGTGCTCTTTGCACACAAAATAGAAACGCCTTCCTTAGATGAGTAACTTGAGTGTATACTGAGAGAGGACTCCATAGGGGCTCTGGTGAGGAAGGGCGGGTAGGTTTTGGAGACAACTCATTCTTCCAGGTGATGTCCATCTAGGGGGACTGTGATTCTCCAAGTTCATTCGTCATCCCCACTGCCCCACACCCCAACCTTTTCATATGGAAGTGACTTGGCAGTGAGCACTTGTGGGAAGGGCTGGTGTCTGGCCATTTTTATACTTCGGGAGACTTGCCTGGTGTCTGTCATGGGCAGGTGTGTGGAAAATGTTTTCTGAATGCATGAATAAATGAATGAGGGAAGGGTTCTCCATACTCTCCTTCCAGCAGTCCACGGAGACCTGAAAGCATTCACTCTGTCTTTCCCCCATCACCACTGGAAGCAGAAACAGCAGACAGAGCTGAGCTCCTGGCTTGGCGAAAGGGTGCTCCGCAAGGATGTGGGTATAAGAATGTTTGCATTTTGCTTTTTACTTCGGTGAAGTCATGATCTACCTATTGCTTAATTCAAAATCCCAGACCCAGAAGGACCCTAGAAACCTGAAGTTGAACTTCTTCACTTTATAGATGAAGAAACAGAGTTGACATGAAGAGGCTCCTTGCTTAAGGACAAAGTCAGGACCTGAATCCCACTTTTCTGCTCCTTCCTAATTAATTTAAAAAATAGTTTTTCCTGTCCTACTTCTTTCATCTCGCGGTGTGAGGTATAACTTTTCCTAGACCCTGCAACTTCTGGGTTTGCTCTGGGAGACACAATAGTTCCCTTTTCCTTCTTCCCCTTTCAACTTTGCAATGTTCTTTCTTTTCTGCTTAAGGATCCTGGGGAGAAAACATTCTAGAAACCTGAAGGCATGGAAATGGACAGAGTCCTCTAGAGCAGGAGATCACACATAGCAATGAAGAAAGATGCCACCCTGCCTTGGCCTGAAAAGGGACTCAGTGACAGAGAGAGGGAGATGTGGTCCAGCTCTGGAAATGTTGAGGTTGGATCCAAACTACCTGGTGAATGCTTTTTCAATCACATAACTGGCAGAGCCCCAAATGTGGCCAGCTGACATGGTGGAGTTTGTGAGCTAGTGGAGTCCCCCAGCTCATTACCAATCCATGGGATAACGATGACCATCATCATAATAATCATTATCGCCTTAGACAGGCGTGGATGACAAAGACACCCCGGGGACGTCCTTTTGAAATGAGCTGCTTCTTAGCCAACCCTGACTCTCCAGAGTGACTTTCTAGAGAATTAAAGGATCATGAAGCTGAAAGAGGCCCTCTGAGATCATCAGTTCTGGCTTTCTGCCTTCAGACAGGACTAACCTTTATAGAATAGTTGCTGTATAGGAAATTGAACCAAACTTACTTTTATATGTTATTCTTGTGATAGTATCTCTGTTGAGCATTCGATTAAGAAATGGGTTTGATGAATCAGAAACCTAGGAGAGAAAAGAAAATATTAGTGACTGGGCAGTACTATCCCAGGATGAACACTGCCTCCACGCATTCACTTATTCATTCATATTTACTGAGTGCCTACCATGTGCCAAACACCGTGGTGGCTGGAAATTCAGACATTAAATACACAGACTATGCTTTCAAGAAATCCCAGTCTAGAGAAAGAAGACAGGTGAGTAAATGAATGGTTATAATAGAGTGTAAAGAGTGCTATGATAGAATCATAGGTGTGATGATATTAGAGGAAGTTCACTTACCTGGGGCATCTGGGGAGCTAAGGAATGAGATGAGTCTTGAAGGATGGGTGGAAGTTACAAGGTGCTTTGCTGGTAGAGTGTGCAAAAGGAGGGAAGGGTAAGGAAAAAAATTACATACAGAGAATATGTGCATACGGACATGAGGGAGTGAGAACTAGTTATACTTATGCAAGTACTTCTGGGGGAAATATGAAAGGTGAGGCTAGAGAGGTAGGTAGGCAAGGGTTAGCTCATATCAGGCTTTGAATGTCATGTGAGGACATTTTAAGCTTTATTCTGTAGGGATGAGGAACCATCAAAGAGTTTTAAGTAGAGGGTAGGGAATGACATTTCAGGAAAGGGACAGTTAATCTAAGTAGACAGAGAGAAAGAGTACCCAGAAGAGAGGTATTAGGAGATAAAAAAAAAACTCTCTAAGACTATAGAACCTTATATCACTGCTTATTATCACAAGAATAAAATATACCATAAGCCATGCCATTCAGTCAACCAATCATCCATCCACGCGTCCATCCAACCACCCACCCATCCATCCAACCATGCATCTATCCATGCGCCCCATACATCCAATCGATATTTACCAAGTGCTTATTACAAGCCAAACATTGTACTAGATGTTCAGGGATCAGTTCTCATTCTGTACCCATGCCCTCAGGTCTCCAAATTCCTTCTTTGGGAGAACAAGGCAAACTTCGAGGGTCTTAAACCAGAGGACCACCACTTGGAGACTGTGATGTGCCCTCAAATAGCTGTGCACACTGTTTTATTTACCACCTCCCTTCTACTCAGTCTTTTCCAAAGTATGAGGATCCATCTAGTCATTTCTCTCCTACTTCTCTCAGTTCTGCAATTTATGCCTCAGCTGCTAATTGGATGCTGTGACACATCAGCATTTTAGATTTGATTTATTCTGAGGGCGGGAAAAATTGTAGCAGATGATGATGATTATTATTAGATAAGCAACAGGTAATTTTTAGTTTGGAGAAAGCACAGACTGTTTATTTTTCCTCCATCTGTCTCTCTTTTCCCACACAGTTTCCTGGATGTGTTGTGGTGAGACAAACGCACACTGGTGGGGGGCTTGGTGAGTGACAATGCTCAGTGGAGTTTTTCAAAGCCACCCCCAAATGGAGAGAAGTCCCAAAGCAAACACTGCTGCTCCTCAGAAGCTTTTGTGGCAAATTTAGCTTCTCCTTTGACATCCTGTTTGGCCATTTAAAACATAGCTTGAAGCCACCTGTTTGTGCCAATTCATATGAAAAGAGAGACAAAAAGATACTGCCATGGCAGGTAAGGAATCTGCTGTCCCCCTTAAGTGGGTGCCTTGGGCTCCTGGTACCCGGTGAGTCTGGACAGCGCTAACATTGGGAATGGACCCTTTTGAAAAGCTGATTAAAAATAACTGAAAAATTTCCAAAGTGCACACAGATGATTTGTGGGCTCTAGTGTGTTCGCGGCGTGGGAGGGAGGATAAAGTATGTACTGGGTATAAGTGAGCTTAAGTGGGAAGTTAATGGTGTGTGATTGAGCAGTAATTACAGCCAAACCTCAGCTCCCTGTGGTCATGGGAAGGATGGGGGATTAGAAGGGGACAGAGAAAAATAAAACCCCCAGATAAACAATTCCCTTATTTTAGCCAACAACTCCAACCTTTCAATGACTCAGCTTTCAGCAGGGTGCCATCTCTAGGGATCTGCTTACCTAGAGGTGGGGGCCTCTCATTTTCTTTTTTTCTTTTTTTTTTTTAAAATTTTTTTTCAACGTTTATTTATTTTTGGGACAGAGAGAGACAGAGCATGAACGGGGGAGGGGCAGAGAGAGAGGGAGACACAGAATCGGAAACAGGCTCCAGGCTCTGAGCCATCAGCCCAGAGCCCGATGCGGGGCTCGAACTCCCGGACCGCGAGATTGTGACCTGGCTGAAGTCAGACGTTCAACCGACTGCGCCACCCAGGCGCCCCAACCTCTCATTTTCTATGCCTGCCTACCAGGCAGGGAGCTGGGAAGAAGAGGCAGAAAAACCAGAAGGAGGGAAGGACCACCAGAGCCTGTGTGCCCTTAGTGCTAAGGGCTTAGGTTCATCTCATTTCTAGGCCCGTGCTGAGTACAGGACCCACCTGTGTCCCACACTCAATCAGTGTTTCGGGATGAGTAAATGACAAGTCTCAGCTTGGATAACGCACTGTGAAGCATCTGGGAGTTGATTATGTTGGACAAAGATAGAAATGCTGTGGCTTATTTTGTTTGAGGTCTGGCCAGAATGTGTCAGCTTTGCTCAGGAAAAGACTGGAAGCATCCCTAGGGGCCAAACTGGCCTGAGAAGGTGCAGGGGCTAGTCCTCACCTTTTCACTGACTGCAGGGGCAGAGGCGGAAGTTCCTCCAGCAACCCGCAGGGACGCAGCCAAGACCTGTGTCAGTATTCTTGGTGCACAGCGTGCTCCTGCCAGAGCTGGTGAAACACGCCCATAGTTTGCTGTTGAGGAGGCTGACTTCCTGGAGTATCAATCACCCTGTCAGCTGTAATGTGCCTGAGCTTCCAGGATGACATCTGCTGACTCAGGTGCTTTGAGCAAAGTGAGGCAGTCAAGGGCCAAGGCTGAAGCACCCACCACAGGACGGGCATTGTTGGGCAGCCCAGGTTGGCTGACATGGAACCCTGGCATCGGGAAAGCCAATGAAGGAGGTGAGCTCCCAGGCATGCATGATGCAATATTGTGACACAGCAATGAGCATGGCCCAGGATGAACACACTAGCTGTTATCAATATCATGACTGAGGCTGGTTGAGGGATATGGGAATTGGCCTTGTGCTTGTGGGTAGCATAGGGATGTGGGGGAGATGTTTATGAATATCATGTTCTGTCTTCTTCATCTCAGTTGCTTTCTCCATGCTCTGTTGCGGAGGCATATGGTGTGAATAAGGTCATAGTATTAAAATCAAGGAAGACCTGGGCTCCATTCCTGGATGGGCTGTTAAGAGCTACATACACTTGGGTGGAAAGCCAAGATTCTCTGAGCCATTTTCCTCATCTGCAAGATAAGGACACTAATGCCTACCCCACAGACTCATTATTTGGGTTAAGTAATAAAATCTCTGTAAAATACACATCTCCATTGCCTGGAATTCAGGAATCTGTGTTCATTATAACAGGGTCTGTGACAGCACCACGAAGTGTAGGGCAGGGACTGGCAGGATCCGTGCTAGGATCAATTTTCTTTGGGGCATCACATCAGGTACTCAGAAGGCACAGCAGCCTAAAAATATGCTTCCTTGGCCAACAGCCCCTTCCTATATTTGCCGATGACAAGCTACAGGAGTTTGGTGGCCAACATGTCACAAATGCCTCTGCCCAATGTACAGTTCTGCCCAGGCCACAAAAAAGGCCTGACGGGAACCAGGTGAGGGAGAGGAACTCAGGAGGTGGCATGGGCTCTGGAGAAGGATGATCAGATGGCAGAAAGTGCCTATTGCAAAGGGTAATGCTTTTGGGGAGGGAATAGTGGGTATAGTGCCTGGGGTACCCCCATGCCTATTGTCCTAAGCAGTGATGATGTCACCACAAGAACTCTGTTAAAAACCCCCCAGTAGCAAATTCTGGATTTCTATTGATCATATCCACCAGATTCCAAGTTTCAACTGGGGCACCTCCTCTCATGATCTGGCCAAAACTTCCCCAGGGGCTGACACGGCAACTTCCAACTTTTGGAACTGTCACACATGCCTTTTGTTTTTTCTCTCTCTCTCTCTTTCTTTTTCCAGTTGGAAAGACATTTCTTCTTTGTCCATTTTCTTTTAAATGTGCATACCTGCTTCACTCCATATCTGTCAAAATGCTCAAGGGGAGTATTTTTTTTTTTAACAACTTAGAATTTTCACGGCCGGAGATCTGTCGTTGTCGTTGACTGTTAGGGAGGTGTAGAGTCTCCTAAGAATGTCATAAAGTCAGCCATGGTGATCTTTGCTTAATTTCTCCTGGGGATACTTATGAGGGAAAGGGGAGGATGGGAGGTGATGTTCAGAGCACCTTCAGGGAAGCTGGAGGGAGCTGTTCAGGGCAGTGCGGGAGGGGAGGTACATCCCACATTGCCCTTGCATCTCTGTTTCCAAGGGGCAACTGGTGGACAGGAGTGTGATCCTGTGGGCTGTCAGGGAGCCACCCCTCCCCTTCTGTTGCATCCTTTTGAATCTTTTGCATGATGTGGGACCTGAAGCCTGTCCCTGGATCTAGTACCCTTTTTCTTTCTGAGACAAAGGCTGCCTAAATCCTCAGGCCCCTGATGCTATGAAATGGAAGAACCATCATTTTGTTGCGTCTTCATGAGAGAGACCTCTTTTTTCATAGATCTCATGGATATAAAAGTCACCACCCTGCAGCTTTTCCTGGGCATGGACATCACCCCTTTTGTTATTTCTAAGATCCAACAGAGACTAAGCTGGTATTCCGACCTGGGGTGGGAATGGCAAGAAAAGAACGAAAGAACGAAAGACACTTACTTTTATAAATATAGAAACTACCACCAATCCATTAGGGCTCTTTGCGGCTTCTGTGACATTTGTGTATAACTCATGGTTATAGTGGATGAGCTGCACCTGGCAGGAGGGAAAAACAGCAGTAAGAACAACAGTCTCACATGAAAAGGTGTAAGGCACAGCATAGCCACCCTACAGAAGGGTTCACCATAAGGTGTATTGTAGAACAATTGTAAAGGCAATCTTGTAATTGAAAGCAATTCAGGGAGGTGTGTGTGTGTGTGTGTGTGTGTGTATAATGCATGCACAAACACACACACAGAAAAGAACCCATACATATTTGCAAATGTTTTCTGGTAATAATCATGCCTTTAATAAGCTCAGTGCCCATCTGGCTCTGGCTCTAACCCAGGACATTCCCCCTAAACTGTGTGTAAAGTGAGTTTCCCTTATTAGGAGTAGAACTGCCCTGTAGGGGTGGACGCGCTCTCCCGGCTGCATCCACAGCTGTCACTGGCACTGAGTGAATCTTCCTCATGGCCTTGGGCAAGCAGGGAATGGTTAGGTTCTGAGTTAGCCCAGTGACTCTGAGAGGACAGTGGACAGCCTATGAAATGCTGAAGTCCTGACAGAGAGAGAGTGATGGCTGAAGCTCCTGATGCACCAGTCTGCCAAGGTCATCTGACCGTGCGGGACTCAATTCCCTCCTTGCTCAGCGAAAGTCAGCACTCTGCTTGTTGAGCCTTTGTGCCATAGTTAGTGTGGATAGCACACGGAGTCTTGGATCTTGGCTCCAGGAAACTAGGGTTTCCCTCTTTTACTTAATTTTTTGAAAATTATTTTCTAAGAAATTTTGAAACATAGCACACATACATGTTCAACTAATGCCCCACCAATTTTTAGCCATATGAATAATTTACTCTACCTCACTGAGACTTGATTGCTTCCTCTGAAAAACAGGTGTGATTTTCTCCTTAGAATTCATCTCAGGCTGTGGTTTTAAAATAGATTTTTTAAAAAATCATGGAGGTATAATATTTGTAACAAACTAAAAAAAGTTTCCTTCCACCTTTGTGTAATCCTAGCCCAAGCAATATGACTATTAACAGCTTAGCATCTATCCTTCCAGATATGTATTTTTTATGCTTATAGATCACACACAGATACACATGTAGGGTTTAAGAAATCATATAGGTCTAAGATCTATAAATTCCTAGGATCATCTAGGATCCTAGAAATTTTCTAGGATTGATAAATTCCTAGAAACACACAACCTACCAACACTGAATCAAGAATAAATAAAAACCTGAACAGATTAATACAAATAAAGAGAACTGAAGTAGTAATCAATCTCCCACCCCCCAACAAAGAAAAGCCCTGGACCAGATGGCTTTGTGGGTGAATTCCACCAGTCATTCAAAGAAGAACGCATACTGATCCTTTTTAAACTCTTCCAAAAAATTGAAGAGAGAATACTTGCAAACCTGTGAGGCCAGCGTCATCCTGATACCAAACAAAGCCAAAAACTTTAAGAAAAGAGAATTATAGGCCAATATCCCTAAAGAACACAGAGGCAAAAAACCTCAGTAGAATTCTAGCAAACTGAATTCAATAACACATTGAAAGCATTATACATCAGGACCAAGTAGGATTTATTCCTGGGATGCAAGGATGGTTTAACATATGTAAATCAATCGGTGTGACCTACCACATTAACAGAATGAAAAATAAAAACCACATGACCATCTCAATAGATTTAGAAAAAGCATCTGGCAAAATTCGCCATCCGTTCACGACAAAAACTCTCAACAAAAGCAGGTATAGAAGGAACTTACCTCCACACAATAAAGGCCATATATGAAAAGCCCATAGCTAACATCATAATCAATAGGGAAAAACTGAAAACTTTTTCTTTAAGATCCATTACAAGGCAATGATACCCAATCTTTCCACTTCTAGTCAACATAGTGCTGAATGTCCTAGGCAGAGCAATTAGATAAGAAAAAGAAATAAAAGGCATCCAAATCAGAAAGAAAGGAGGAAAATTGTCTCTCCAGATGAAATAATCATATATGTAGAACACACTGAAGATTCACCCACAACAAAAAACTGTTAGCACTAATAAATGAATTCAGCAAAGTTGCAGGATACACATTCAGTACACAAAAATTGGTGGCATTTCTATACACTAACAATGAAGTATCTGAAAAGGGAATTAATAAAGTCAATCTCATTTACAATAGCAACAAAAAGAATAAAATACAGTTGACCTTGAACAACACAGGTTTGAACTGAGCTGGTCCACTTACATGCAGATTTGTTTTTTTTTTTTTTTTTTATAAATACAGTACAATATTGTAAATATTTTTTCTCTTCCTTATGATTTTCTTAATAACATTTTATTTTCTCTAGCTTACACAGGTAAGCTTACCTGTTACCTTAACACAGGTATGTACAAAATATGTGTTACCTGACTTTATGTTATCTGTAAGGCTTTTGGTAATAGTAGGCTATTAGCAATTAAGTTTGTGTGAAGTCAAAAGTTCACAGGGATTTTTGACTTCATGGGGTTAGTACCCTTAACCCTCACATTGTTCAAGGCTCAACTGTACTTAAGAATAAGCTTAACCAAAGAAGTGAAAGGGTTGTACACCAAAAACTATAAAGCAGTGATGAAAGAAAATTAAAGAAGACACAGATAAATGAAAAGTCATCCTGTGCTCATGGGCTGGAAAAATTAATATTAATATTGTTAATGTTCATACTACTATTCAATTAAGTCCCTATCAAAATTCCAATGGCATTCTTTACAGAAATAGAACAAACCTTCCTAAAATTAATATGGAACCACGTAAGACTCTGAAATAGTCAAAGCAATCTTGAATAAGAAGAACAAAGCTTCCTGATTCCACAATATACTTCAAAGCTATAATAATTTTATGTCAGTATAGTACTGACATAAAAACATGTATGGACTGGTGGAACAGAATGAAGGGCCCAGAAATAAATCCATACACTTATGGTTAACAGATCTTCAACAAGTATGCTAAGAATACACAATGGGCAAAGGATAGTCTCTTCAGTAAAAGATGTTGGGAAAATTGGATATCCCATGAAGAAGGATGAAATTGGACCCTATCTTACATCATATATCAAAGTTAACTTAAAGACTTATAGATAAGACCTGAAACGGTAATATAGTAGAAGAAGACACAGGGAAAAAGCTTCTTGGCAATGAGTTTTTGGTCATTACACCAAAAAGTACAGGCAATAAAAGCAAAAGCAGACAAGCAGGATTGTCTCCAACTAAAAAGCTTCTGCACAGCAAAGGAAACAATCAAACAGTGAAAAGGCAACCAATAGGATGGAGAAAATATTCTCAAACCATATATCTAATGAGGGGTCAATATCCAAACTATATAGGGAACTCATATGACTCATTAGCCAAAAACCAAATAGCCTGGTTAAAAATAGGCAAAGGACTTGAATTGACATTTCTCAAAATAAGACACACAAATGGCCAATAGGTACCTGGAAAGGTGCTCAACAGCAACAGTCATCAGGAAAATGCCAATCAAAACCACAATGAAATATCACTACACACTTGTTAGAATAGCTATGGTCCAAAAGACAAGAGATCACAAGTGTTGGTGAGGATACAGAGAAAAGGGAACCCTTGTAGTCCATTGATAGGAATGTAAACTGGTATATCACCATCATGGAAAACACTATGGAGGTTCTTCAAAAAGTTAAAAATAGAACTACCATTTGATTCAGCAATACCATTCTGGGTATAGATCCAAAGCAAATCTGGATCTCAAACCGACATCTTCAGTCCTATGTTCATTGCAGCATTATTCACAATATCCAAGATATGGAGATAACCTAAGTTTCTATTGATGAATGAATGGATAAAGTAACTGTATAAAGGAAAATAAGATGGAATATTATTTATCCATAAAAATGAAGGAAATCCTGCCATTTGTGACAACACGGATGAACCAGAAGGACATCATGCTAAGTGAAATAAGGCAGACCCAGAAAGACAAATACTGTCTGATCTCACTTATGTAAAGCATCTAAAATAGTCAAACTCATAGAAACAAAGAATAGCTTGGTGGTTGTCAAGGGATGGGGGAGTGAGGGGAAATGAGAGGTTGGTCAAAGGGTTCAAAGTTTCAGTTATGCAAAATAAATGAGTTCAGGAGCTCTGAGTACAGCCTGGTGATGATAGTTAACAATAGTGCACTGTATACTTGAAATTTGCTAAGAGTACAGTTCTTAAAACTTTATACACACACGCACAATAGTAACTAAGTAGAGGTGATGGATATGTTATTTAGTTTGTCTGTGGTGATCTTTCCAAAATATATTCATATATCAAAACATCAAGCTACACACCTTAAACATATACAATTTTTACATTTCAAAGAAAACTCAAAAAGTTGTTAAAAAAATGAATAAACCCAGTAACAATGGAATCATTTCTAAGTATGATTGTGGACTTGATTTGTTAAATTTAAAAATAGTTTCTGGCTGTCTTTATAAGTCAGTGTGTACAGAGCTACCTAAGTCTTTACAATAGCTGTACAATTTTCTGTTGCACGAATGCCCCACAACACATTTAACTAGCCTCTTACTAGCTTTCTGGTTGTTTCAATTTTTTCTTCTCTCTGATAAACAATGTCACAGCAAGCTGAGCATATATCTCTCTGTAGTGGTGTCAACATTTTCCACAGGCTGATTTGAGAATCTAGTAAATAGCGTATGTAAAATGGTTTTGTGCCTCTGAAAAGTTTAAGTGTATTCATTATTACCAATATCCTGTAACACATTAAAAAAAAGGAAGTGAAGTTTCAGAAGCTAAGGAAGTCAATGATAAAAAAACAAAAAAAAGGAAAAAGGTGCTTTTCTTTGATTTTTGAAAAAAACGGAGTGCCTGGGTGGTTCAGTTGGTTAAATGTCTGATTTGTGAGTTTGAATCCTGCATTGGGCTCTGCATTGGCAGTGTGGAGCTGGCTTGGAATTCTCTCTTCCTCTCTCTCTGCCCCTCCCTGGTTCATGCTCTCTCTCTCTCAAAATAAATAAACTTAAAAAGATAAACCACCTCTAACACAGTG